TCAAGTGGCTAAGGCACCAGCCACATACACCTGAGCTAGCGGGTTTGAATCCAGCCCAGGCCCACCAAACAACATTGACGGCTGCAACCAGAAAATAGCCAGGCATTGTGGGTTCGAATCCAGCCCAGGCCTGCCAAACAATAATGACGGCTGCAACCAAAAAAAGGCCAGGCAGTGTGGCGGGCACCTGTAGTCCCAGCTACTTGGGAGGCATAGGTAAGAGAATCGTTTGAGTCCAGGAGTTGGAGGTTGCTGTGAGCTGTGATGCCACAGAACTCTACCCAGGGTGACAGCTTGAGGCTCTGCCTCAAAAAAATAAAAAATAGTCTGAGGTTGCTGTGAGCTATGATGCCACAGCACTCTGCCCAGGGCAAAAGAGTGAGACTCTGTCTTAACTAAAAAAAAAAAAAAAAAAAGTCATCCAAAACAAAAAAGATCCCATCAAAAATAAATAAATAAATAAAACCTATGTCTTTCACAATTCTTTTAGTATTCAGTAATCACTCATTTACAGCAGTGGTATCACAAGCTGGGCTGTATTAACAGCAACACCTGAGGAGCTAAAACCCGGGCACCATTCCAGAGATTCTTAGAATTAGCTGCTCTAACACCAGTACTTTTTCTTTTTTAAGTGCTAGAGCAGTGGTTCTCAACCTTCCTAATGCCGCAACCCTTTAATACAGTTCCTCGTGTTGTGTTCCTCACAAGGAAAATAGTTTTATGGTTGGGGGTCACCAAAACATCAGGAACTGTATTAAAGCAATGAAAATAATTTTATGGTTGGGGGTCACCAAAACATCAGGAACTGTATTAAAGGGTCGCAGCATTAGGAAGGTTGAGAACCACTGTACTAGAATACCTCTTTTTTTGTCTTTTAATCTTGCATTTTGAAATTTTTCAAACATATAGAAAATAAAGACAATAGCGTAAGAACACTCTTAAACATACCACTTAGATTTGACTATATATAAAAAAAGTTTTTTTAAGACAGAGTCTCACTTTGTATCCTTAGTACAGTGTTGTGGCATTACAGCTCACAGTAATCTCAAACTCTTGGGCTGAAGAGATCCTCCTGCCTCAGTCTCCCAAGTAGCTAGGACTACCTGCCACAATGCCTGGCTATTTTTAGAGATGGGGTTTCCCTCTTACTTGGGCTGGTGTCCAATTCCTGAGTGCAGACAATCTAATCCACTTCCCAGAATACTAGGATTACAGAAATAAGCCACCATGCCTGGGGCCTTAGATTTGACAATATTTGCCACTACTTTCTACAGTTACTTTTTACATCATTTACAACACAAACCTCATGACATTTCACCTCAAAATAATTTAAAATGCATCTCTTTTAAAAAGTTCATTTCTAATATCATTCTCACATCAAAACAAAAAATTTGTAATACCCAACCCATATCCAAATTTTCCTGTCAAAGCTTATAACATATAGCCAGGGATGAACTATTGATTTATAACATGTAAAATATAATGATTATTTTCTTCCAATTTTGTCCACATCTTATGTAAGAACATTCAGTTGTTGTTTAGAGACAGAGTCTTGCTCTGTTGCCCAGACTGGAGTGTAGTGGGATGATCATAGCTTTACTGTAACCTCCAACTCCTAGCCTCAAGCAATCCATCCCCTCAGCCTTCAGAGTAGCTGGAACTATAAGCACCCATCACTGCTAATGTTTTCTTTTAATTTTTTACAGAAACACAGTCTCACTGCTTTGCCCAGGCTGATCTGGTACTCTTGCCCTCAAGCAATCCTCCATCCTCAGCCTCCCAGAATGCAGGGATTACAGGCCAAAGCCACTGTTGCTCCAGACTGTTTTGAAAATAAATTAATAACAACATCACAAAGCAGAAGAAAGAAAGGCAGTTAATAAAATATTTATTCTTTACCTGAAAAGATCCACCTCATGAACAGTAGGTAAAATAACAGATATATGTGTGTCTGCCTAAGAGATAGAAAAGAAAAATAATAATGAAGCTATCACCAAAATTTGCAGAAATTAATTTTTAAAATATGTGTTTCTGTCTCATGATCAATAAGCCATGTTGCCCTGTCTTCCTTTTTAAGACTGTCTTCCTTGGGGCTGGCACCTGTGGCTCAAGGAGTAGGGTGCTGGCCCCATATACTGGAGGTGGCAGGTTCAAACCTGGCCCTGGCCAAAAACTGAAGAAAAAAATATATTGCCTTCCTCTAGGAGCAGTCAGAGGAGAGAATGGGTCTTATCAGTCTCCCCTAATATAGAAGAAAATTAAGAATAATTCAGATACCACGATTATTTGACTATTAGATTAATTCACAACTATATGACATACTACCAGTAATACTATCTAGCAAGCAAAATTCATTTTCCTACTGCTCTCCATTTTGTTTAATTCAAAAAACAACAGACTGCTATCCCACTTAAATACAACAGTTAAAATATTTCAAATGAGCGGCAGGGCGTGGTGGCTCAACCCCAGTTAAAATATTTCAAGCAAGCGCAGGTATTTCACACCTATAATCCTAGCACTCTGGGAGGCTAAGACCAGTGGCTTGCTTGAGCTCAGGAGTTCCAGATCAGCCTGAGCAAGAGCAGTACCCCATCTCTAAAAATAGCTGGGTGTTGTGGTGGGCACCTGTATTCTCAGCTACTCAGGAGGCTAAGGCAAGGGGATTGCTGGAGCCCAGGAGTTTGAGGCTGCTGTGAACTATAATGCCAGGGCACTCTAGCCAGGTTGACAGAGTGAGACTTTGTCTCAAAAAAAAAAAAAAAAAAATAACTTTTTTTCTTTCAAATGAAAACTTCAACCCCGCCCATGTTGTTTTTGGAAAAATGAAAGGCAAAATACTTTTGACTTGAGTCTACTAAAATCAGAAATCTGCTGGCTACTCATAAGAGGTTTTGCCAGAATCAAACATTGTTGGAAAAAAAAATTATTTTCTCATTGTCTTTACAATTACAGTATAAATTCTGAGTTCTAGTATCTACTGGAAAAGTAACGAGAAAAAAATTTACAAAGTTTATTGCCATTCATTAAAAATTACACAATGGATACTTCAATAATATTCAGAAATATATAATAAACCCAAGAACCTCTGCATTTGCTAGTTTAAAAGTCTGTTTAAAAGTCTGTTAGAGAGACTATATGTGCTGGATCATTCTACCTGCGGAGTTAACTGCACTATTTGTGTTGTTCCAGGCTTGTCATGATATGTGGGAATCCGTACCTTAAAGAGAAAGAAAAATTATTTTTTGGCTATAAATACGGGATGAGGGATGAGAATTTTTCTATCCTGCTTCTGCTTTATTCTTTGCGTGACAATAAAAAACTAAGGTCAATAAGGGATGAGAATTTTTCTATCCTGTTTCTGCTTTATTCTTTGCGTGACAATAAAAAACTAAGGTCATATTTATTTCTAGTCACAGAGAAAGTAAGTAAACCAAGGTCTACATACCCAAATACACACAGAAATCACTAACTCACTATGAAACAAATGTGTGGAAAGAAAAAACAAAAAAGAACAACTTCCTATTGCTTCCTGTTTACTGGTCTAATTTTTGCTTCATTAATATACACACACCCAAACACATTCTTCCAAGCTGGCCAAACTTCTGGATAAATCACACAGGAAACAATGAGCTATCAGTACTACCTCTGATGATTTCCCAGGAAAAAACATACATGTTACAAAAATCTAAAATACATCTAAAAAGAGAATATAGTCAAAAATAATTGTAACTTGGGTCCAGCATAGCAGTTCACACCTATAATCTTAGCACTCTGGGAAGCAAAGGAGGGTGGATCATTTGAGCTCAGGAGTTCAAGACCAGCCTGAGCAACAGTGAGAACTTGTGTTTACTAAATAGACAAATTAGCTGGGTGTTGTGGTGGATGCCTTGGCGGAGGCAGAAGTTTGAAGTTGCTGTGAGCTAGGCTGATGCCAGGGCACACTAGCCTGGGGCAACAGAGTGAGACTTTGCCTTAGAAAAAAAAAATTCCAACTTGAGAGTGAATTACAAAACTTTAAGAGCACACTCATTCCAGCCTAAGAGTAAAAATGCTGAGTCATTAAAAAAAATCACTAGAGAACAATTTCCTGAATATGTTTGATCTGACATTACATGTTCAGATCATTTAGGATTAAGAATCAGTGGCTTTTCTAATTTTTTTTAATTTTTAGTAATTCATACTCAATTCTATAAGTGATCTGCTTCTGCATACTACCCATCTCTGATAGAACCATAGAGCTATAGAATTCTAGGAGGCACAATATTTATGTTCTTATGTACTGCATATGAACGACATGAAGCAATGGGGTGAGGGTCCTGAAATGGTGTTACTAATGGTTCTAGAAAGTAGGATGATTGGCTCAGCACCCATAGCACAGTGGTTACGGTGCCAGCCACATACACCAAGGTTGGTGGGTTCGAACCCAGCCCGGGCCAGCTAAACAACAATGACGACTGCCAACAAAAAATAGCCAGGTGTTGTAGTGGGCACCTGTAGTCCCAGCTACATGGGAGGCTGAGGAAGAGAATCCCTGAAGCCCAAGAGTTTGAGCTTGCTGTGAGCTGTGACGTCACAGCACTCTACTAAGGGCAACATAATAAGACTCTCTCAAAAAAAAAAAAAAAAAAAAAAGTAGGATTCTGGTATCTCTGTAACACCTCATGTCAATGACAAACAAGTGACACAACATGAATGAATGTTATTAGGAAACTAAAAAGTAAAACCCATGTATGAACTTCCTACAGAGTTCTTTAAAAAGGAAACAAATGAGACATAGGATATTACCTTCATTACCACCCCCATAATAGGCAGGTGTAATGTTTTCCCTGGCACTGGAGCAGGCCATCGATCAACGTCATTACAAACTGAAAATTACAAGATATTTCCTTAGTGTAAGTGGAAATACTAAAGTATAAAAAATGAGCCATTAGAAATCAAAACTCTACTTTCTACAGAGCAGAAAAATATACCAGGAAGAAAGAAAAATAAAAGGTAAAAGTGATGAAAACATCTTACATTTTACTTAGAAATAAACATATATTGTGAGACATAAATCAGTAATTATAATACATTTTTTAAAAGCAACAAACTAATAGATTTAAAGGGAGTTTTCCCATTCATTTATTACAACTAAAATTAGCTACCAAGGCACACCAGCTAGCAGAGGCCTTCTATCTCTATCAAGCTACATAAGGATTTTTGTTCAATAGTACTCTGGTAAATTCATGTATTGTTATCCTAATAAACAGACATCATCAAAGTGGTTAGATAACAAAAACCAAAATTTTTTATTTTTTTAGGTAAAGATGCCAGACAAATAGTTTTATACCTCTCATATCAAATATTGCTTAAATTTTTATTGGATTTTTTTGAGTTCATTTTTATCACTCATTTCCAGTAAAAATTTTTAAAATCCCTTCATAAAGGTATATAACTCATACAATGTTTAACTCACCTGCTTCCAAATAAGGTTCACTCTTTTCGAAATACTCTGGTGCTATTTGTTTGAGCACAGTGTGAAAAAAATGAATATAAGGTAGTTTGCTGATCAAAACCAACGACTGGAAGGAAAAAAGAAACAGTTTTTCTTTTTAATTGCCTATTGATTATAATTTGAATTTGCCACTCATTTTTTGCATGAGCAATTACCTATAAGCTAAAGTCACAAGTGTGGATTTTGAAATACAAAGGTTTTTACAGTGGATGTTTAATGGAAACATAAAGCCATAGCTACAGAATGCAAACAGTTTAACCTTATTACTATACTTTAAGAGAATAAAGGCATATTTGCAGATATTTCTGATCTGTAGAGTAAAAAATGTCCTATGAACAGATAACATCATAGATAATTTCCAAAGTCTGACTCTGTCTTCAGCAAGCATTATCAGGAATTAGCCATATGAACTCTTTCTACCATGGAAAGAGCATCCTCGTTAGTATACTGGTAAGAAAAATTTAAAAAAAAAGGGAAATAGTAGTGCTTTTACAAAATAACTATGACTATTATATTTCACAGTTCAACCAGCTGTCATAGCCCTATACTCAGAAATTGTGACTTTATAGTTTGATCACTGCAGATGAAAATTATGCTGATTTTTTAAAATGTATTTTAAAAAATACATTTTTTAGAAATCACTCTTTACCTTTCCATCCAGCATCAATTAATGGTCAGGGCAAATTCTGATTACAAAGGAAAACGTGTGCCTTGCTAGTTGGGATCAAATAGGATACTTTGGTTCCCAGACTGGGGACTTAGAGCTCTGCTTGATTTTTTTTTTTTTAAAGAAAGAATAAGAACTGCACATTTAGAATGGAAACAATAATGGCTAAGATGTTACTGAAGTTTATTACTAGCTCTTCAAAAAAAGATAGTTCACACTTTTATTAATTATAACAATATTACAATCTGTTTATTCCTTCCCTTAATCTAAAATGTCAAAATTAAGCAGACTTTTCTGGTTTTTGACAAGAATTCCAAAGGACAACTGAAACTTATTGTCAGGAATCTAGCACAGAAATAGCAGAAATTCAATAGCAATTAAATATCCAGTGATAAATATCTATAATAGAAAAAAAAGATAAAATATAAACTCTAGTTCATATAAAAATAAAATAACAAAGACTTTAAAATCTAACAGTTTCTGTTTTTCTAATCACAATATAAAAGGACTTTTATTAGTATATATGAAAATTACCTTCTGAAAGTAGCCTCTTTTTAGAGTTTTATCTCGAACTTGTCGGAAATAGACATATCCATAAAAATAAGCAGGATCCTTCTATGAAAGAAGTAACAAATATATAGCCATCCTTTATTATTAGCATCAGCTTCCTTTTTAAACCCAAATCAAGATATGAGGTAAACACAAAGTGCTAGTTATATTTTTCTACCAACAAACAATAACTATGACAGCGATTGCCAAATAAAAACTTTCTAATTTCCCCAAAGATGAAATAATCATAATCTAAGTACTAAAGATTTTCCCCCCTATTATCTTAACTCAGCTTATGTTTGTTATTAGTATCCAGACTAGTTAATAGAAGTAAGACACAACTGAATTGTTTTCCCCAATGTTATACTTTGTTTTTAAAAAATTCTACCTACAATTTTGAGTTTTTCAAGGCTAGGGGATCAGCTTTATCTTTTCTTTTCTTTTTTTTTTTTGAGACAAAGTCTCACTCTGTCATGGTGGGTAGAGTGCTGTAGCATCATCATAGCTCACAGCAAACTCAAAGTCTTGGGCTCAAGCAATCCTCCTGCCTCAGTTTTTCTGTTTTTATAGAGATAGGGTCTCACTCTTGCTCAGGCT